TACAGGCAGCAGAACGTTCTCCACGGCTTCTCCAGACCCTTTCACGTCTGTCACATGTGCTCAGGGGGAACCTGCTCTCATCTGTGTAAAGCACAGGGTGCCAGTGGTGGACCTGCCAATTCTGGGGTTCAATGGCAAATGCCGATCCAGCTCTATGGTGCCGGGCAGTGAGCACACAGGGGCCCACTGGAGGACGTCGGGCCCTCAGGCCACCCTCATGAAGTCTGTTTCTGATTGTTTGGTCAGAGACATTCCCACCAGTGGCCTGCTGGAGGTCATTTTGTAGGGCTCTGGCAGGGCTCATCTTGGTCCTCCTTGTACAAAGGAGCAGATACCGGTCCTGCTGATGGGTTAAGGACCTTCTAGGGTCCTGTCCAGCTCTCCTAGAGGAACTGCCTGTCTCCTGGAATCTCCTCCATGCTCTTGTCTCCTGGAATCTCCTCCATGCTCTTGTCTCCTGGAATCTCCTCCATGCTCTTGAGACTGTGCTGGGAGACATAGCAAACCTTCTGGCAATGGCAGGTATTGATGTGCCATCCTGGAGGAGTTGGACTGCCTGTGCAACCTCTGTAGGGTCCAGGTATGGCCTCATGATACCAGTAGTGACACTGACCTGAGCCAAATGCAAAACGAGTGAAAAACAGTCAGAAAAGTAGAGTAGGAAAAAAATGTCACCTGTAAAACTATTCCTGTCTTGGGGGTCGTCTCATTGTTGCCCATCTAGTGCACCTGTTGGTAATTTCATGAACACCAAAGCAGCTGAAACTGAACAACCTCCTCTGCGACTTACTTGACCAGATCCATATCCCGGGAGGTTAGTTGACTCGATACTAGACTCTGCCTTTCATTTGTTTGAGCCGAGTACATGTATATAGCTCTGACATATACTGCGGCGCTGTACAGAGAACACTGAGCCAGTCCCATCAGGTTATCTAGCACAATAAATCTCTGATTTGGTGATAGGTGGTATCTTACATACATTGATGTTTCCTCTGGTGATACGTTGTGTTTCTCTGTCCTCAGCGTCTCCTGGAATGGGATACAGACGGATTGGGTGACGGTGGGACGGATCGGCTCGGTGACATCGTTGTGTACAGTGAGCTGGTTGCGGTGGATTGCCTGCTGTGTAAGATGTATCACTGTTAGTGGTGAGATCCATCGCTGGGCCACACCTGAGACCTTTGTGTTGGCGCCGGGGTCCTGGGATCATTGCCACTATATAAAAGAAGACATCCTATCACCCCCAACAATGATACAATTGTAACAAAGGACGAGCCGACGATCGAGGAGACGAGTTTTAGAACAAAGTCAGACAAGGATACATTGTAGCAATGTTCCATAGATACCGCACAATGTACAGATCAATCCATCATTTCAATGAAAGGTACCGGGATGGTGACCAATGGCACAGAGGGGTGGTGACCAATGGCACAGCGGGATGATGACCAATGGCACAAATGGATGGTGACCAATGGAACAGCGGGGTGGTGACCAATGGCACAAATGGATGGTGACCAATGGCACCGAGGGGTGGTGATCAATGGCACAGAGGGGTGGTGACCAAAGGCACAGCAGGATGGTGACCAATGGCACAGAGGGGTAGTGACTAATGGCACAGAGGGGTGGTGACTAATGGCACAGAGGGGTGGTGACTAATGGCACAGAGGGGTGGTGACCAATGGCACAGCAGGATGGTGACCAATGGAACAGAGGGGTGGTGACCAATGGCACAGAGGGGTGGTGACTAATGGCACAGAGGGGTGGTGATCAATGGCACAGAGGGGTGGAGACCAATGGCACAGAGGGGTGGAGACCAATGGCACAGAGGGGTGGTGATCAATGGCACAGAGGGGTAGTGACCAATGGCACAGAGGGGTAGTGACTAATGGCACAGAGGGGTGGTGACCAATGGCACAGCGGGATGGTGACCAATGGCAAAGCGGGATGGTGATCAATGGCACAGAGGGGTGGTGACCAATGGCAAAGCGGGGTGGTGATCAATGGCACAGTGGGGTGGAGACCAATGGCACAGAGGGGTGGTGACCAATGGCACAGAGGGGTGGTGACCAATGGCACAGAGGGGTGGTGACCAATGGCAAAGCGGGGTGGTGATCAATGGCACAGTGGGGTGGAGACCAATGGCACAGAGGGGTGGCGACCAATGGCACAGAGGGGTGGTGACCAATGGCACAGAGGGGTGGTGATCAATGGCACAGTGGGGTGGAGACCAATGGCACAGAGGGGTGGTGACCAATGGCACAGAGGGGTGGTGACCAATCGCTCAGAGGGGTGGTGACCAATGGCACAGAGGGGTGGTGACCAATGGCACAGAGGGGTGGTGTAATGAGGTCCAATGACGCAACATTTCAGCGTCACGTTGGCCAATGAAGGGATCCCGTGAGGCTCCTGAAACCTCGCTTCTATTATAATGATGCGATCGCTGAATAAAGCTTTGGCCCCGTTCTGGAGTTCCGTGGCGTTCCGGTGACATTCTCCCGCTCTGATTACATTTGGTTCCAGCTGGCGGTCGCCGTAGCAACCATCAACACCTACAACACCTACTACCAACTAGACATGCGCAAAACAAAAAAAAATTTGTTTTGATTCGAATTCTAACAAATTTCGTGTAGTCGGATTCGGTAAATTCGTTCAATTCATTTTTGGGATTTGTTTCAGTAATTCAGATTCGATTCAAAACCATTTCCACCAAATTCGAAAAGTCGTTCACAATCGAAATCGGTTCAACTGAATTCGAAATTGATTCAACGAAATTCAAAAAGTCGTTCACGATCGAAACCGGTTCAACAAAATTTGAAATTGATTCAACAAAATTCAAAAATTCGTTCACAATCGAAACCGGTTCAACCGAGTTCGAAACTGATTCAATGAAATTCGAAAAGTCGTTCACAATTGAAACCGGTTCAACCGAATTCGAAACTAATTCAACCAAATTTGAAAAGTTGTTCAAAATTGAAATCAGTTCAACCGAATTCCAGATTGATTCAACGAAATTTCGCATTGTCAGATTTGGTAAATTTGTTCAATTCGTTTTCTGGATTCATTTCGGTAATCCATATTCAAATTCGATTCGAAAACATTTCGACCAAATTTGAAAAGTCTTTCACAATCGAAAGCGGTTAAACTGAATTCGAAATTGATTCAACTAAATTTGAAAAGTTGTTCAATATTGAAAATATTTCAACCGAATTTGAAATTGATTCAACGAAATTCGAAAAGTCGTTCACAATCGAAACTGGTTCAGCCGAATTCAAAATTGATTCAACGAAATTCAAAAAGTCGTTCACAATCGAAAACCGGTTCAGCCGAATTTGAAACTGATTCAATGAAGTTCGAAAAGTCGTTCAAAATTGAAATCAGTTCAACCGAATTCCAAATTGATTCAACTAAATTTTGTGTAGTCGTATTTTGTAAATTTGTTCAATTTGTTTTCGGGATTCATTTCGGTAATTCGGATTCGATTCGAAAACATTTCTACCAAATTCGAAAAGTCGTTCACAATCTAAATCGGTTCAACCGAATTCCGAATTGATTCAACAAAATTTTGTGTAGTTGGATTCGGTATCGAATTTTGTTTCGTTATTTCGGATCCATTTAAATTCGTTGTTTTTGTCATTTGGAATTCTGATACATCTGAATCTCCGAAAAACTAAAAAATGTGTGCGAAATTCGACTTGGAAGGAAACGATCGGCACGTCCCGGTGACAACCTCGCTTCATTGTTATGATCATTGTTACTATTGTGTCTTTGTATCGATGTTTTATCTTCGGATTACTTCGTATCGTTTCTGACGTCTCCTATTGTGACGGAATGTTTTTATGTTCCTGGAAAGCTCTGGAACCCGGAACATCCAGGAATTGGACTTCTCCCGGAATTTCCTGTATTTCAGGTACAATAAACGTGTTTGTTGTGTATCAGCAGCTGGCGGTCCCGGTGTCACCGATGATTCACACATCATGATGGCAGGTCTGGGTGTGGGGGGCAGATTTGGGTGTGGGGGGGGGCGGGGCGATGGGGAGATATAAGTCACACAAACTTCATGCTGAAATACGAGACTGTTTGAGGACACAATGAAGGGGCTGAGAGCCGTTCTCCTGGTTGGGGCCGCAGTTGCGCTAATGACGATGAGGGCTCATTCCAAGACAGCGACGGATCCGGCGCCAAAACCGGGTTCCATGTCGGGTGACACGCGGGCGGATGAGACCTCTAACACAGAGATGGCATTGGATAAGATTTCGGGCCCCATGTGCTGCATGAGTGGCTCCTGTCCAGGATGTCCGTGCCGCAGACCGAACCTAAACGTACGTTTTATGGCAGGAAAAAGGATAATAATACAATATATAATAATAATAATAATAATAATAATACTTTTTTATTGTAGTAGTAGTATTTTATTGTATTATTATTATTACTATTAGTAGTATTTATTGTATTATGATTATAATAATTGTTAGTATTATTATTATTATTATTATTATCATTAGTATTTTTGTATTGTTATTATTAATAATAATATTGATACAATAAACTACTACTACTAAAACAGTAAAAATTATTATAATTATATATTGTATTAATATTATTATTATTATCATTGTTATTAATATTTTATGTGTTAATGGTATTATTATTTGTAAAGGAAGCGTAGGCAGGACAGAGCACCCCGGAGAAGATGGGGAACACACAAAACTTTATTGAAGCAACAAATCGACAGACACTCAATAGGGAAATGGCAGGGAGGGTGATGTGTGCGCAAACCAGGGACGATTCCAGGCACGGGGGGTCTTCAGCGACAGGCAGGCAATCTTCCCTCCTAAGCTTGGGGCCTCAGCCGAGCTCCCTCCGTGACTGGACAGCGGATTGGAGACTCGGGCAACAGGCGGCAACCTACCACTGGGCAGGGGCCTCGGGCAACAGGCGGCAACCTACCACTGGGCAGGGGCCTCGGGCAACAGGCGGCAACCTACCACTGGGCAGGGGCCTCGGGCAACAGGCGGCAACCTACCACTGGGCAGGGGCCTCGGGGACTCAACGGGACTCTAGCTGTGGAGACTGGCCACAGCACAGCTCCCACCCAGCTTTCTAGGGTCATTGGGTTCACGGGGACTCAACGGGTAGCGATGGCTCAAGCACTCAGGGGCACCACAGGTAGCTATACTCCGGGCATGCCATCAGGACACCGGTGGTTAGTGCACACACAGCAGGGCAGTTCGGACACGAGTGGTCGGTGCGCACACCGGGGACAGTTCAGAACACGGGTGGTCGGTGCACACAGCGGGCACAGTTCAGGACACAGGTGGTCAGTGCGCACAACAGGGACGGTTCAGGACACGGGTGGTCGGTGCACACAGCGAGGACAGTTCAGAACACGGGTGGTCGTTGCGCACAGCAGGCACAGTTCAGGACACAGGTGGTCAGTGCACACACAGCGGAGACAGTTCAGGACACAAGTGGTCGGTGCACACACCGGGGACAATTCAGAACACGGGTGGTCGGTGCACACAGCAGGCACAGTTCAGGACACAGGTGGTCAGTGCGCACAACAGGGACAGTTCAGGACACGGGTGGTCGGTGCACACAGCGGGGACAGTTCAGGACACGGGTGGTCAGTGCACACAACAGGGACAGTTTAGGACACAGGTGGTCAGTGCACACAACAGGAACAGTTCAGGACACGGGTGGTCAGTGCACACAACAGGGACAGTTCAGAACACGGGTGGTCGGTGCACCCAGCGGGGACAGTTCAGGACACGGGTGGTCAGTGCGCACAACAGGGACAGTTCAGGAAACGGGTGGTCGGTGCACACAGTGGGGACAGTTCAGGACACTCACGGTAAGCAGCTTGCAGACCCTCAGCGGCAGGCGGCTCCAGACAGGGACAACCAGCAGTCAGCATTCTAGGGACAACCAGTGATCAGCAGACAGCAGCAGCTCCCAGGGCACTCAGCAGCAGACAGCCTCCAGGGACACGCAGCCACGGACAGTGTGCAGGCTCCCTCAGCAGCAGCTCCCAGGGCACTCAGCAGCAGACAGGGTGCAAGGGTGCTCAGTAGACAGGCTTACAGACTGGCAGGGTCTCAGCTGTGGGGTCTGACCTTTGAGGAGAAGGCTCATGCAGAGCTGTGGAGACTCCCAACCCTGGGGTATTGTAGAGGGCTACAGTACTGACCTTTTGGGGGTCTGCAGAGTGCACAGGGGGGATGGCTGGGGAGGCTCGGTCCCCCTCACCCGAGCCTCCCAGCATCTTTCTGGGAGCAAGATGGTTCCTGCCCCATGGACAGGAACAGAGAGAGAAGGGCTACTTCCTGTGCGAGAGTTTTTTGAAAATCAAGTGGGACACGGCTAAGTTGCCTCGGCAACGGCCGGCCCAGCATTGTCCATGGAGCTCCCCAGACTTCAGAATGTGCCAGGGGGAAGGGAGGGGTGAAGGGATATGGCGGGGGATGGGAGAGGCACTGGCAGTCCTTGACATTATTATTATTAATAATAATAATACAAAAATACTGATGATTATAATAATACAATAAATACTACTACTAAAAAACAGTAAAATTGTTATAATTATTATTATTATATATTGTATTAATATTATTATTATCATTGTTATTAATATTTTACCTGTTATTGGTATTATTATTATTATAATCATCAGTATTTTTTGTATTATTATTATTATTATTACTATATTATTATCATTGTTATTATTAATATTTTATGTGTTATTGATATTATTATTATTTATCAGTATTAATATTATTAGTAGAAGTAGTAGTAATATTTTTGTATTATTATTGTTACTATTATTAATTATTATTATTATTTATTGTTATAATATTATGATCATCAGTGTTAGTATTATTATTAATAATAATAATGATAATAATAATACAATAAACTACCACTACTACTAATACAATAAACACAATTATTAATATTATTTTTTTTATTATTATCATCATCATCATTGTTATTTTTATTAGTATTATTATTTCTTGTACTGTTATTTATCATCATTGTTTGTATTATCAATATTATTATTATTTTATTGTATCATAATTATTATCATCATAATTGTTATTATTAATAATAATATCAGTATTTATTACTAATATCATTATTAGTAGAAGTAGTAGTAATATGTTCGTATTATTATTATTAGTATTATTTATTGTAATAATATTATTATCGTCAATGTTAGTATTATTATTATCAGTATTATTATTATTATTATTATTAATTATAATAATGATGATGATACAATAAACTACTAAGACTCATACAATAAATAAAATTATTGTTGTTTATTTTTATTATTATCATCATCATTGTTAATTTTATTAGTATTATTTCTTGTACTATTATTATCATTAGAGATGAGCGAATCGAACCAGGCGAACCGGAATTCGAGTTGAATTTCAGGAAATATTCGTTCGCGTCGAATCCGAAATTTTGCCTACTTCGGGTGTGCGCGAATCGAACATTTCCCGATCAGCCGGTAAAAAGTGTCCCTGCAGTGAGCTCCGCTATTTCTGACAGTTCTCTGACAGAAGGAACACATGTTTAGCGGGTGAAACATTGTATCTATTAGTTTACATTTAGGATACAGATTTTTCAACCGCTGTACATGTTGAAGAAGCTGTGAGAGAACTGTCAGAAATAGAGGAACTCTGCACATACACTTTTTGCCGGCTTGGAATTATTCTTCTTTTCATCCTACTTCTTCTTCTTCTTCATCCTCATCCTCAGAAGAAGAGGATGAGGATGAAGAAGAAGAAGAAGAAGAAGTAGGATGAAAAGAAGAATTAATTTCCAAGCCGGCAAAAAGTGTATGTGCAGAGTTCCTCTATTTCTGACAGTTCTCTGACAGCTTCTTCACATGTACAGCGGTTGAAAACATCTGTATCCTAAATGGAAACTAATAGATACAATGTTTTCAACCGCTGTATGGAAGGAATGTCCCAGAACTGTCATAAATAGTCTATTTCTGACAGTTTTATGACATTCCCTCCATACAGCGGTTTAAACCGCTGTATGGAAGTGAATGTCCCAGAACTGTCAGAAATAGACAGAAACTGTCACAGAACTGTCCTTCTTCTCATCCTTCTCCTTCTTCTATCCTTCTTCTCATCCTTCTTTCTCATTTCCTTCTCCTTCTTCTCATCCTTCTCCTTCTCCTTCTTTCTCATCCTTCTCCTTCTTCTCATCCTTCTTCTCATCCTTCTCCTTTATTCATCCTTCTCCTTCTCCTTCTTCTCATCCTCCTCCTTCTCCTTCTTCTCATCCTTCTCCTTCTCCATCTTCTCATCCTTCTCCTTTTCCTTCTTCTCATCCTTCTCCTTCTGCTTCTCCTTTCTCCTTCTCCTTCTTCTCATCCTTCTCCTTCTTCTCATCCTTCTCCTTCTTCTCATCCTTCTCCTTTCTCCTTCTTCTCATCCTTCTCCTTCTTCTCATCCTTCTCCTTCTCCTTCTTTCTCATCCTTCTCCTTCTCCTCATCCTTTCTCCTTCTTCTTCATCCTTCTCCTTCCTTTTTCTCATCCTTCTCCTTCTCCATCTTCTCATCCTTCTCCTTCTTCATATCCTTCTCCTTCTCCTTCTTCTCATCCTTCCTTCTTCTCAATCATCCTTCTCCTTCTTCTCATCCTTCTCCTTCTCCTATCCTTCTCCTTCTCCTTCTTCTTCATCCTTCTCCTTCTCCTTCTTCTCATCCTTCTTCTCTTCTCTCTTCTTCTCATCCTTCTCCTCATTCATCTTCTCCTTCCTTCTTCTCATCCTTCTCCTTCTCCTTCTTCTCATCCTTCTCCTTCTCCTTCTTCTTCCTTCTTCCTTCTCACCCTCTTCTCATCCTTCTCCTTCTCCTTCTCCTTCTTCTCATCCTTCTCCTTCTTCTATCCTTCTCCTTCTTCTCATCCCTTCTCCTTTCCCTTCTTCTCATCCTCCTTCTTCTCATCCTTCTCCTTCTTCTCATCCTTCTCCTTCTTCTCATCCTTCTCTTCTCCTTCTTCTCATCCTTCTCCTTCTTCTCATCCTTCTTCTTCTCTCTCATCCTTCTCCTTCTCCTTCTTCTCATCCTTCTCCATCTTCTCATCCTTCCCTTCTCCTTCTCCTTCTTCTCATCCTTCTCCTTCTCCTTCTTCTCATCCTTTCTCCTTCTCCATCTTCTCATCCTTCTCCTTTTCCTTCTTCTCTCCTTTCCTTTTCCTTCTTCTCATCCTTCTCCTTCTCCTTCTCCTTCTTCTCATCCTTCTCCTTCTCCATCTTCTCATCCTTCTCCTTTTCCTTCTTCTCATCCTTCTCCTTCTGCTTCTCCTTCTCCTTCTCCTTCTTCTCATCCTTTCTCCTTCTTTCTCATCCTTCTCCTTCTTCTCATCCTTCTCCTTCTTCTCATCCTTCTCCTTCTCCTTCTTCTCATCCTTCTCCTTCTTCTCATCCTTCCTCATCCTTTCTCTTCTCATCTTCTCCTTCTCCTTCTTCTCATCCTTCTCCTTCTCCTTCTTCTCATCCTTCTCCTTCTCCTTCTTCTCATCCTTCTCCTTCTCCATCTTCTCATCCTTCTCCTTCTCCTTCTTCTCATCCTTCCCCTTCTCCTTGTTCTCATCCTTCATCCTTCTTCTCATCCTTCTCCTTCTTCTCATCCTTCTCCTTCTCTCATCCTTCTCCTTCTTCTCCTCATTTTCTCATCCTTCTCCTTCTTCTCATCCTTCTCCTTCTCCTTCTTCTCATCCTTCTCCTCATCCTTCTCCTTCTCCTTCTTCTCATCCTTCTCCTTCTTCTCATCCTTCTCCTTCTCCTTTTCTTCTCATTCCTTCTCTTTCTCCTTTTCCTTCTTCTCATCCTTCTCCTTCTTCTCATCCTTCTCCTTCTTCTCATCCTTCTCCTTCTCCTTCTTCTCATCCTTCTCCTTCTCCTTCTTCTCATCCTTCTCCTTCTTCTCATCCTTCTCCTTCTTCTCATCCTTCTCCTTCTTTCTCATCCTTCTCCTTCTTCTATCCTTCTCCTTCTTCTCATCCTTCTCCTTCTTCTCATCCTTCTCCTTCTCCTTCTTTCATCCTTCTCCTTCTTCTCATCCTTCTCCTTCTCCTCATCCTTCTCCTTTTCCTTCTTCTCATCCTTCTCCTTCTCCATCTTCTCATCCTTCTCCTTCTCCTTCTTCTCATCCTTCTCCTTCTCCTTCTTCTCATCCTTCTCCTTCTCCTTCTTCTCATCCTTCTCCTTCTCCTTCTTCTCATCCTTCTCCTTCTTCTCATCCTTCTCCTTCTTCTCATCCTTCTCCTTCTCCTCATCCTTCTCCTTCTCCTTCTTCTCATCCTTCTCCTTCTTCTCATCCTTCTCCTTCTCCTTCTTCTCATCCTTCTCCTTCTCCATCTTCTCATCCTTCTCCTTCTTCTCATCCTTCTCCTTCTTCTCATCCTTCTCCTTCTCCTTCTTCTCATCCTTTCTCCTTCTCCT